TCAGTTCACACAGGTCTTCATGGGTTTTTTTGTATCTCTACCTTTTGTCGTTTCTTATGGTACAATTTTTCAAGAACTCACTACATAAAAGGTATACCTGTATAATGTTTACAACAGTCTATCTCTTTTTTTTTCCCCTTGGTTGAGGCAGTCGAGGTTAAGTGACTTGCCCAAGGTCACACAGCTAGTAAGTGTCAAGTGTCTGAGGCCGGATTTGAACTCTACAACAGTCTCATTCTTGGGAACCAATGTTATTTTTTTCTATATGGAGATTTTCCTTGTCCCTTGATCATTGGTAGTGAACTCTAAATAGTAGAAATTTATTCTACCATACCAGTATTACTGATAATTCCTCTTAGTTATCTTGGAGAAGGGAGACAAGTTTAGTAGCTTTCTTGAAAGTTTTATAAAAAAGAGGTTGCTGGTATAGCAAGTTATGTTTTTCAGATTTCCATCAAAATAGACTATCAAAATTTCCATCAAAGATTTCCATCAAAATAGGCTGTTGGAGGTTTCTGAATTGACAACTAATCTGAACCTCCTGTTTCCTATAGTATTTTAGCTGGTGATCAGAAAGACTACTGATTTCGGCAGCAAACTAAAAGAAAACCTCTTCTCATTTTAACTATTATTTGAGTGGTGGATACTTTAAGGGATTGATGTGGAATGGTGGTAGCTCAGTTTCTTTTATAAAATGAGGCCAGAGGGGCAGCTAGGTATCGCAGTGGGTAGAGCACCAGCCCTGGATTCAGAAGGGCCTGAGTTCAAATCTGGCCTCAGACACATAACACTTACTAGCTGTGTGACTCTGGGCAAGTCACTTAACCCCATAGCCTAGCCAAAAATAAAAAAAATAAAAAATAAATAAAATGAGGCCAGAGTAGATAGTCTGCAAGAGTAGAATCTTTCCAAGGTTTCTTCCAGTGTTTGATACCTATAATTGAAAGAAGTCAGAGTTGGAATAATTGCATGTGTCTTGAAAGCCAAAGCAGTTTTTTGGTGATGAGCATGCAGCCCCAGAAATAATCAGTCAACAAGCATTTAATTAGTACATACTTTGTACCGGGCATTATGTTGGTGTATAGATTCAAAGACAAAAATGAAACAGTCTCTGCCATCAAGGAGTTTACATTCTATCAAAAGAGAGTGTGTGTGTATATATGTGTGTATGTGTAATTTTTTGTTGGAGAGCGCTAGCAGCTGGGATGGAGTCAGTGAAGGTGGCCTCTGAGTGGTTTTGAAGGAAATTAGGGATTTTAAGAGGTGACGGTGAAGGTAAGGAAGAAGTGCATTACAGGCATAGAGATGAGAGAGATAGTGTTATATTATGGGGGAACAGCAAGAAGTCCAGTTTTACTGAACTATAGAGTGCAAGTAGGGAAGGAATGCTAGAAAGGTAGATTGGGGCCAGGTTGTGAAGGATTTAAAAGTAAAACAGGAGTTTTCATTTGATCTTAGGGGCAATAGGAACCCATTGGAGTTTATTGAGTAGAGGAGTGACATGGCCTTGCCTGTGTTTTAGGAAAATAACTTTAGTAATTTTTTGGGGGGGAGGAAAGATTGGAATAGGGAGAGACTTGTGGCAAGGAGACCAATTAGGAAATATTTTAATAGTGAAGAAAAGAAGTGATGGTGACTTGAAATAGATAGTGGCATTGTGAGAAGAAGGGGGTAAATGTAAAAAATGTTGTAGAAGTAGAAATGATACGAGTTTGCAACCAGTAAGACATGTACAGGTCAAGTGAGGGTGAGTTAGGAGTCCAAGAAAATACTGAAGTAGAGAGTCTGGCTGACTGGAGGGTTGGTGCTTCCCTCACCAGAAAGAGGAAAATTAGGATGAGTGAATATAGCAGGGAAGATAATGACACCCACGGGATATCCACTTGATATGAGATTAGAGCTCGGGGAGAGGCTAGGGCTGGATATATAGATCTGGGAGTCATCTGCGTAGAGATGATAATTAAACACATGGGAGCCGCTGATGTCACAGAGAAGGAATGATCAGACAGGTAGGAGAGAACCAAGAAAGAGTATGCAGAAGGAGAATGTGGTCAATAATATTAAATGCTGCAGAAAGGTCAAGAAGAATAAGGACTGAGAAAAAGCCATCATATTGGGCAAAAAAGATCATTAGTGCTTTTGGAGATGGCACATTAGTACGTTTGATTCTGCCTGCTAATGTGGCAGACATCTGTACACATTTTCAGTTGGTTACTCGAATCAGAAGCAAAGGGTTGAGACCTGAGTCATAGAGGAAGTGAGGCCAGTGAGTATAGACAACTCTTTCTAGGAGTTCGGATTTGAAAGGGAGTAGAGGTTACAGGGCAATAGAGTAAGGGTATGATGATAAAGTCTCTGGAAGGTTTTTTTGAATGTATTTGTGGGCAGCAGAAGATAGAGACTGAAGATGGGTGGGGCAGTCTGCAGGAGAATAGAGAAAAGGAAAAGAAAAAGAAGCCCAAATACTTAGCCCTTATTGAGGTGGTTTCTAATGGTTGTTCCATGGAATCCATTACCTTCCAGTATTTAGGATAAATTCAAGTCCTGGGGCTAGAAACTGATAGAAAGATCATTTAGTCTCCATTTCCAGACAGGACTTTGCTTAAACTCTTACAGATATTTGCTTTTTTCTTTAAAAGTCTCTGATGATATGGCTATGCACCTAGTTTGTCAGAATGCTATTCTTAATGTCTAATCTAAAGCTCTTGTGAGACTGAAACTCATTTTCCCTTGTAGAAATAGAAAAGCAGCTCATTACGCCACTCCCCTCGCCCCCAAAACATCCTTTCTTATATTTGAAGACTGTCTACCCCCAGCCTTTTCTTCTTTAGACTAAATTGACAGAAGTTTATTATTAGACATTTTTTGCTAGCATTCTTAACTTGCTTGGGATGGAGTCTTTGAACAGGCTGGGTTCTAGTGGTTTGAAGCTGCTAACTGGTCTCTGCAAGCTACATACATTTGAGTCTGAACGCTCAAATTTTATATAGTCAGCATATTCTTGTCAGAAACAGCTTTCATCTGGTCCAATATTGGGTGATTTTGTTTTCCTGCAGTAAACATTTTTGAAGGAAGTTTGGACTGTTGAAAACGAGAGATTTGATTTTGCTTGCTAATGTGGCAGACATCTGCAGAAGCATCCTCTTCCCCTGCTCACCACCCCCCCTTCTTCTATCTGTGTTGGGGTCTCATTAGGGAACCCTACTCTGAAGCTTTGCAGCCCTTCTATTCTTCCCCTCGCTGAAGTCTTTATTCTTTCCCTTCCTGAAGTCTTCTGGTTCCAAGAGGCTGGTTGGAAAGTCCAGCAGAATGGATCTCCCCCTCTGTGAAGAGGGTTGTCTTAGCGACTGAAGACTACATTGACTACTGCTGCTTAAAATATTCCACCAGCATCTCTTCCATAGAAACGGTTTCAGAGGCCATGAGCCTCTATTGCTGCTGTTTTTGCTAAGGCCTGTGGAGTGATGTCTGTCTTGTTTACTTGTTTCTTTGAATCTACTTTCCAGTGGGTCAAAAATAGCACAAAAGGACTGGAAAAGCTATAGATACAATCTTACCAAGTCTTTGACTAGCCAGGTGTTTTAGGCACTGTGTGAAAAGGCTGAGAACTGTTGTAGTATTTGTCCTCTTTTTCTTCCCCATCTATTTCTTTCAACTTGCAATGTCATGTATGTACCCAGATTGACAAGGCCAAGGAGTAGCTTAAAGCTTTTTGGCAGAACTTTTTCCCTTGCTCTGGATTGTAATAAATTGCCTTTGAAACTCAGATTGGAGGCAGTGAGGCAGTGTATTTAGTTCCTTGAAACCTGAGGGTTACTTGCTTTCTTCAGGCATCTCTATGTCAAACAGCTTTAGCATATTACCACCACTATTTTTGTTTTGCTGTGAGGAATTAGGTATCTTAGTTAATTTTTTTTAACTCTTCTGTGATTGTGTCAGAGTTGTACTTTGGAAGAAAGACTGACTGCAATAGTGAAATTGTATTCCCTGTTGTACCTTGTAATATTTGATGATTCTAATCTCTGAGACACTGTGTGCACAATGCAGATTCCCTGTCTTTAAGAAGTTGATGTTCTAGAGATGAGAAGGAACAATCTTTGTATGCCTGGTAGGCTTACCAATATCAACTGTTTCCAGTATCAGTGCAGTTAAATATTGCTTAGCTATATTAATGGGAAGGAAAAAGCATTTATTAAGTACCTGATATGTGCCAGGCACTGTGTTAAGTGCTTTATAAATAGGAGTAGTGAGGCGAGTAATGCAAAATCAGAAATAATGTAAAATTTTTTGTTTTTAAAAAATATACTTTTTCTTGGTAAACTGACCTTCCAGATCTGTTTTGACACATTAAAGTGAGTTTTTACACCTTTGGAACTTGCACTACACTGGCTGATAGTATGGAGGTGGAACCAAGAATGTTTTTGGTTTTTAGGGAAAGTTATCCTTGGATAGAAAATACGGTAATTCATATATAGATACAGCTGTCCCAAGAGGTCATTATCTTTACTGTGTGCCGTTTTTTCTCTAGTTTCTATTCCACTAGAAGGCAGACAGGGTATAGAAATAGTGGAATTCTAACCATTTATTTTATTGTTGAGGGATTTTTGTCTTATAAACCAGTGTTTATAAATTTAAGTGGGTGATAATGGTTTCATGGACTCAGGCCTCTTCATGTGAACACAAGTTAATGGAGCTGGCCAGAAGGGGACTTCGCAGGCCCTATTTTTACATCTGAAGGTTACTGTATTGTTACACCACAACTATTAAGGATCAAAACTGAAAAGCAACTAATATTTCTGGCTTAAGCATGAAGGTTTTTTGTTTTTCTTTGCAAGATTGCCTGCTTAGGTTTTCTTTGTTGGGGGAAGTAGATGACCTAAGCCAATCTTTCTTAGCCTCTCTTCTTTAGTCTGGTTATGACTTTTTAGCATGTTACTTGTTTCTAGGGGAAGAGTTGATCTAAATGTCTTCCTAAGTTTTCTGTTCTTTTTATCTCTCAGCTTGCCAGCAAAGCTCGAACAGAGAAAGAGGAGAAGCTGAGCCAGGCCTATGCAATTAGTGCTGGTGTCTCCCTGGAGGGACAACAGCTTTTCCAGACCATTCATAAGACGTAAGTAGTTACAGGTGGACACTGGTTGTCTTCTCTATTTATTTCCTCTTTCCCAGAGGTGATCATTGTCAAATGCTTAGCCATGCCATCTGTTTGCAGTCTTTTAGATTATCCTGATTTTAGAAGACAGGGTCTTGTGACCCACAAGTCAGCATCTTGGGGATCTAAGTTTTACTTTTATGTCTCTATGATCCCTTTCCCCAAAAGGATAAAGGATAAAAGAAGCTCTTGGTTTTCTTTTGTTAAATCATATTTAATAAACCTCCTCCCCCCTGTTATTACTGTGTCTTGTGATTAGTACATGGAGTGGAGGAGTACAGATTTTGTTATAATTGCTCCATCAAGGGGAATACCCTAGTTACCGCTCCACCAAGACCTTTGCCACAGCACAAGTCATTTGACATTCTAGTGGGTCCTTGGCTGTTGAAAAGATGAAACATATCGTGCCTTTTCCTTTCATGCTCTTTTCACCTGCCCCTTTTAAATGCTAGGGCTTGAATTCACAGATGGCAGCTGGCATCACTGTTGTCATGAGGCCAAGCTTTTAAGAATCTGAGCATTTACAGGTATGTGAAGGAGCCTCTGTTAGGATTCTCATGTAACCCTGGTGCATTGTCCAGCCATTTGACACATAAGAGGGGCCAGGTCACAGGGCACATGGCCAAACTAGCTAGAGTTTATCAAGGTATGAGTTACAGTTCTTTTGCTGTGGAGGAATTGTCTCCCTTCAGGACTCCCTGGACTGCTGAGTTGGATCCAACAACTCAAGTCTAGCTTTTGTTTGAATCTGAGCTTGGTTTGGAATTCTGAGTCTACAGCCATCAGGCAAGTGAGTCTCTCTGGGGCACACAGTTTTCTAACACTCTTCATGTCACTCAGACTGTAGAGTGGCTCCCCTGAGCCTCACTTTTGTTTGTTTGGTGTTACCTTTGTTCATTTTAAGTATGTATTCCCTGTAAAAGGAATCTTAATGTATAGTGATGAGCAAGTATTCAATAGCCATCCCTTTGTTTACGTGTTTGTAGCTGGTACTGTGGCATCTCTTGGGCCTGTTGCTTTAGGGTGCTGTCCTTGGGAGTAGAGAATGAGGTATACTTGAGACAATGAAGTGGGATTTCACCTTTTCTCTTCTCCCTCTCCCAGCATTAAGGACTGTAAATGGCAAGAAAAAAACATTGTAGTAATGGAAGAAGTTGTTATTGCACCTCCCTATCAAGTGGAAAACTGTAAAGGCAAAGAAGGGAGTGCACTGAGCCACGTACGAAAAATAGTAAGTACTAGGGATGCAGCCCTCAGCATTCACCTTCTACTTCATGGCAGAATCATGTTATAAAATATCAGCTGCTCTTTTGCATGTTTTCTAGCATGTCCTGCTGCTTAAGACCAACTTGTTATGCCTTTTACTTTCATGCCACAGATTCTTTATAAACACCTGGGGTGATTAGCAGCTCTTAAGGGGTGCAGTGAGAACCTATGTGTTGAAGAGGATTCTTTATCTCCTTAACTAGCTCTATGGTATCCACTGTTGTGTGGATCTGGGATGAGATCATTTGCCATTAAACCTCTCTTCATCCATTCATTTATTCACTCAGTGTTTAGTGGCTGCTGTGTGCAATGCTCTGTGCTAGCTGCTGTGTGGAGATGCAGAAGGAAGATCCTTATCTTAATGGTTTTTACAAAGCTCATCATTTGTAGGGAAGATCAGACGTGAATACCTAATTGTAATGTAGGACATGAGAGTATAATTAGAGGTGTGAATGAAGTGCTATAGGAGTTCAGAATTCAGATACAGGAGATTATGGCTAGCTGGGGAAGTCAGGGAAGCGTTTGTGAGCAGGCCTTGAAAGAAGCGGGAGGAACTAAACAAGTCAGTCACCCAGGCTTGCAACCTCAGTGTCATCCTGGATGCCTCTTTGTACACTCAATCCATATACATGTAATCTGTTGTCAAGCATTGCTGTTTTGACCTGTACAGCATCTCTTGTATATTTTCCTTTCTGTCCACTCATGCAGCTACCACCCTTCTGTGGGTCTCCTTCACCTCGTGCCAGATCTAGTGCAGTAGCCCTTTGTTTGGTCTCCCTGTTTCAGATCTCTAGTCCATACTCCACTTAGTGATTTTCCTAAAAAGTAAGTGTGTCCATATAGCTCCTCCTGCAATAAACCCTAATGTCTCCCTGTTACATCCAGGATCAAATATAAAATCCATCTGACCACTTCCTCCCTTTCCAGTCTTTTTTACACCTTATTCCTCTCTACTGACTCTAGGATTCAGTTACAATCAATTCTTACTTGTTTGAAAATGTGAATTTGCTCCAAAGTGACTGATACATTAGGGAGTATTTTGAGCATAACTCAAATTTCGAGTTTGTTTATATGTGAGAAATAGCAAGAATGAAGAAAACTGCACCACTTCACAGAAGTAGTTCAGAAGTTTCGACCCTTCCAATACCTAGTTTCCCCAAATAAGCATCAGCTCTTTTTCAAGGTAAAGTATCATTTATTGTATATCTTGTGGTGCACTAAGAACTGTGGGTGGAGGAAGGCTGGTCCTCAATCCCCCCATGCCCTAATCTTCTGCCATGGCCTCAGTCATATCACACACACACACCTCTCCCCCACTTAGATTTTTGCCTTGCCTATCTTGGAGTGGGCCATTTAGCTGGAGGCTAAGGATAGCTGGAGGCCATTTGCGCCACCACTATTTATTGTAGTATTTTTTTGATTTCTTAACCATATAACATATCTAAAACTGTGCTCCCACTTTTATTAGGTTTCTGTCCTTTTATTATGGCTCATTGACAAAGATTTTTGAGCATTGTGCCCCTAAAACCATTTTCCCAATAAACACTGTAGTTTTTATTGCTCGGTTTTTCATAGCACAATGCTTTTGGGGAGCACATTTGTTGAGTTATAGGAGAACCAACTGTACAGACTATGTAATAGTCTACTTGCTGTTGCTCATACACAATTGTCTTTTTGACTGGAACTTTTACCTCTTCCTCCTGGCTTCCTTGGCCTCCAGGACTTGGCTGAAATCCTATCCTCTGCAAGAGGCCTTTCCTGGTTTCTTCCATTTGTGCTGTATATATGTCATGGGTATTTATTTGCATGTTGTCTCCCTTGTTGCCTTCAGGTCAGGGACCATCTTTTACCTTTCTTTATATCCCAGTATTTCTAGTGTTTAGCACAGTGCCTGATACATAGTAAATGCTTAATAAATCCTTGTTGACTGAGCAAGGCTGTTAGCCCTTTTGGACTAAGGCAAGTAGCTAGCTCTGTCCTCTCTATCTGGAATGGTCAGTATTAGTTGTTTCTCCTTGACATTAGATTAACTGTCCCATATGTTATGGCATTGGCGTTCCCCTACCTTCTAATCCAAACTGAATTCTGTTGCCAGAGTAATTTTCCTAATATAGTTGATCACTTTCTCAAAAATTTTAGTGACTTTCCATTGCCAGTTGAGTGAAATCCAAACGGCTTAGCCTGCTATTCAAGACTTTCTAGCCTCATCTCTTATTAGTATTCTTTAAAATGCTTTTTACTTGATTCAAATTGGGCTACTGTTCCCTGGATATGTCCTCCTTATCCGCTTCCAAATACTACTTGTGTCCCATGGTCCAATGGAAATAATCTTTTCTTCCTTAGTTCTCTCATAGCACTTTGTACCTCTCCTCTGTATTTACATATTACCTCATCTAGTCTGTATTTTAATGGTTTGTTTACCTGTCATCTTCTGTGCTATTTAGAATCTACTGGAAATAAGCCTGTATCTGTCAGTGCCTAACACAGAGCCTTGCACAGAGTCACCTGCATAATAAATGTCTGTTAAATTGAACTGAACAGTCAGCATTGTTCTAAGTCATGTTGTTTTGCGTTCTGAATTGACACTGTTACTTTGGTGTGGGGGCGGGTACAGAATATTGAAAAGACCTGGATTGGAAGTATGAAGTTTTAGTCACTGCTGTGCTAGTGGCTTGTCATGTGACCTAGGACAAGTCTACCCAACTTTTGACCGTAGCTATGCTGTTTGTAAAGAACTGCCCCTCCTTAGAAGGAATTCAGGTGAAATGTTGGATATAAAAAGCATGATAGAAATACAAGACACTGCTAACTCTTGAGTATCCACAGTAGTAATAGTGGCAATGAGAGCATGTATCTCCCATTTGGAGGATGATCTCCCCAAATTTCAGTAGCTTATCAATTCAAGTTCTTCTCTGTGAAATTGCATACTGGAATTGCACTGAATGCTTTTCCTTCTTTCCTGCTCGCCTTTGGGTTAAAGGGAGCAGGAATTAACCCATCTGATTAAGCAGTTGCTGACCAGTCCAGTATGGGCAGCAATGGTATTTAAGCTGAATCTGTGGGAGGTGTTGCCTCTTTCCATCCCCTTCCTTATTGCTGGTTTCTTGCAGGTTGAGAAACATTTTAGAGATGTGGAAAGCCAAAAGGTAATGCAGCGTTCACAAGCACAGCAGACACAGAAGGAGGCCGCTCTGTCATCCTGAGTCCCCACACCCCGCACACTTGGGGGACTCTTTCAACATCCAACAGAGGAGGGAGGCGACATTGGCGTCTTCATCGGAGGCAGGCCGGGGGAGGGGAGGGAATTCCTTTATTTCCCGTTAGCTCTTTTTCATGAAGGGCTAACAATTCCAAACCTTAGACTTGAACAAAAAACAACAAAAGAACGAGAGAATAATTTAAAAGTTGAATCATTACTTGACTAACAGACTTGTTTTGTCTACCATGTTTTTTTTTTCTTTTTTTCTCTCCTGGAACAGTCATCTTGTTAATTTTATTTTTGAAAATACTCTGTAACCTTCCCTTTTTGTCCTTTCACCCTTGACTTCTCCTATTCTGTTCCCTGCCATTCAGTTTTTATAAGTGGTTATACTTGCCTTCTGAGCAAATGGGAGAAATTTGACATCTTCCGTTCTGAAATAAAAATAACAAGCTGACTGTGATATTTGTGTTGAGGCCAGAACAGCAGATAGGTGCCTCACTTTAATTTTTTTTTGCACAGGGCATGGCTTGAATTAGTTTTATTTTTCTTATCTTTAAATATATATATGAAAATATATATTAAAATGTTCTCTAAATATTTTCTGCTTCTTGCAGGTCTCTATATTAGATCATGGCCCAACCCACCTCCATTCCCCTCCCCCCCAAAAAAAAGCCCCTTAGCAAAGCAACCAACTTGGCCTAGTCCCAGAATCTCTTGCCAGCCTTTGGAGAGTCAGGTGTTTGTAGATGGAATGCAGGGTTCAAGGGAAGGAGGACTCATAGTATCTTACCTTTTTAAGCATGTATTCTGGCTGGTTCTTTGAGCTGGAATTTCTCATGTGTCCTGAAACTCTAGGGTTCTCTCCCTTTACCCCCACTTCATGGTACTAGAAATAAATCCCAACATTCCCTGGTAGACTGGAGATACAACTGTTGATTCTCTTGTCCTCTGCAAGGATTATCTTGCATGGCATATTTCATCTCTCCTGCTTGAATGACAAGCTCTCTCTTCCAAGTGACCTGGAATAATAAGCTTCTTGTTCCTGTCTCATTTTACCCTAAATTATCCCTGCCCCTTTGATTTCTCTCTTCCTGACTCACTTCTGGTCCAGGCAAATCTTGAGTAATCTCCAAACTCCCTGTTTCCTTCCTTTTACTAGCTGATGACAGTTTGTGCTCAGCAGATAGTCTAAAAACCTAAGTGTTTCTCGAATTTAGCCCATCAGTTTGGCTGGCCATGGTTAACTTGCTGAGAATTAACTATCATTCCCTTCATCATGTGCTTCAGGGCAGTGATTTTGGGTAGAGTGTGCTGTCATTCTTCCATCAGACATAGAGTGGATTGTGTATAGCGTCCATCAAACTGGCTAGAGTCTGGGGGTGAAACTTAGTTTTTAAAAAATTGGCCATGATCTCTTCCCCTCCTCCCCCTCTTTTTTTTTTTAATAAATGGATCAAAACTAAATAATTCAAGCCCTGCCTTCAAAAATAATTTTTTTTAGTATTGTTTAGCAAAAACAATAAAACCCAAATTTTTTAACCATCAGCTATGTCTCAGTGGGTTTGCGTGTGCCATGGGTTAGGGAGGGGATTGGAGTGAAGGGAATGTGATTTAACAAGGTAGAGTAACCAGAATCTTTCTGGATATTCAGTATATAATGTCTGATTATAAGGAGAAAGTGATATGAGAGCATTTCACAAGTTTACTGTGTATATACACACAAATATAGCTGTATTTCGCTTAAGTTGTTTAACAAGGGGTTGTATTTATATGTCTCATGAGAACCAAGAAATAGTCTTCCAAGTGTAATTGCTGTGAGGTATTTATTAAGACCTTGGAGCCTCCATTTTGAATTCCACAATAGAAACATAAAAAAGGTTTATGGGAGGGCCAGGAAATCCAGTAAAAGAAAGTAAAAGGGGAAGAGGAAAATTTAGTTCAGAGGACCAAAATTAGAGGTATTGCAGGAAGCTTTTTTTCCTAAGCCTTTTTTAGGAGAGGAAGGACCAACTAGTTTTTCTTCATTTTCATTGAGGATGTGTAAAAATTGTTCAAGAGAAATTTAGGTTTGAACTTAGGAAATACCTCTGCTAGGGGTATATTTGACATTGGAGTGGGTGGCCAAGATAGATTGTGGGATCTTTCTTCCTAAGGATTGTAGATCCTCCTGTGATGGTTCAGTGCATACTTTTCTAAAGACAGGGATTAGGCTTCCAGAGAGGTCTAGCCTGAGGTAAGTAATCATTTACAACTTTTCTGTTTAGAATGGTAAAGTTGTAGTCAGGAAAGGTGAGACAGATCTGGAAAATAGGGCCCGAGTGCCTCAGGGGAATAATTTGATATTGATACCATTCTTCAACCGTGATACGTCCTTTAAAAAGTCAGAAAGAAAGGAAGGAATTTGATGCTTTTACCTACCCTGTCTTAATCCTTCTTTCTCACCAAAGAACATTTTTTTCACTCAAGTATTATGGGATGTTATGTGTTCTGTCATTGTGGTACTTTTCTGGAAGAAACCGGGGAAGTGGTACTTTTCTGAAAGTAACCAGGGAAGTGGTTTTTTTCCCCACCTCAAACCCTCTCCCCCACAACTAACAAACAAAAGAACCATCTTAGATTACATCAGGGAGCAAGATATATAGACAGATTTTAATACAATATATTGTGAGTTGAAATAATGGAACACATAGTACCATCTGTGCTTGATGAGGAAGAGGAAGGAGAGGTTGATTACCAAGCAGTTGGGTCTTGTGCTGGCCTTGTAATCTGGGTAAACTTTGTCTGGTTAGAGTAGAGGAGAGAAGATTTGATGCAAATTCTGCTTTGCTGAATGGGTGTTGATTGAAAAAAGTTTGATGTTAGGGACAGGTAGGTTGTACAGTGGATAGAGCACTGGCCCTGAAGTCAGGAGGATCTGAGTTCAAATCTGGCCTCAGACCAAACACTTGACACTTAACTAGTTGTGTGACCCTGGGCAAATCACTTAACCCCAATTGCCTAAAAAAAAAAAGTTTGATGTTTTGATAAATGCTTCACAGGAGTCTTCCTCTAATACCCCCTCATGGCATGGTGGTGCCCCTGGGGCCCAGAAGTGCAGCTATACTGCACTGAAGCTCTGGCAGGCCTGCTGGGTTCTAGAGGCTTCGAGTTTGGGTCCTGTTAAACTACACGTTTCAAGAACCAGTTGAGCTGATAATCTCAGAGGGTCATCGTTGGTCTGACCACAGACTAATGAATTCTTTGGCCATGACCACCTTAAATCATTTCCTGCCTCAGAGAGAGGTTGTGATTTGCTTTGGGGAAGGGAGTAAACACATAAAAATTATGGATATTCAAATACTGAATGAGGGATCAGGAGATGAGTCTTGATTGGGAGGGAAGAGGAGATTCATTTTGGGTCATAATTGAAGGTAAGGTATGTCTGGGTTCTAGATTGTCAGTGTTGAGGTATCACACAGAGTTTGTACTTGATCCAATAGATTGTGGGGAGTGATTGGAAGTTTTTGTGTAGGGGGGAGCAAAAGGAGCAACTCTTTTAAAATGTTATATTGTTGCTTTTTTGTTTTCTGTATCACTGTAACATCTCACTGTCCTTCCCCACTCTTCTTCCACCACAGAATCTCTCCCTTGCAACAAAGAAATTGTTAAAGAAAACAGTCACATTGACTATATTTGACAGTTTTTACAACATTCTGCAACTATAGTCCACACCTTTTTACTGGGATTGGGGAAGGGAAGGGGAGTTATTTTCATCATTCATTTTGTGTAACTGAGATTAGTCCTTGCATTTAATCTGTATTGTGATTTTTTTTAGTGTGGTTTTCATTTACATTGTTGTCCTTAGGTATTTTCTTGGTTCACTAAGCAGTATTTTTGGGGGTGAAGGATATACAGTATGCAAGAGAAGGAAGAAAGTTTATGCAAAATTGAGGCAAGATACCAAACTTGAGGAGATTAGTGGAAAAAAATCAAGTCATGTCGATTAAGGAAAGACAGATTTGACAGACATTAAAAAGGAACGGTGGATGAGACTTGCTTATTTCTTTCTTTGGATTTAGAAGGTGAGCAAAAGGCAGAAGTCAAATATATGGCAGGTTTTATGCCTCGGTGACTGAAAATATGCTTCACCACAGACAAAATCATAAGGGAAAATTTGAATGAGAGCATATATTTTGTACATCTAAAATTTGAGGTCATGGTGAGACCCTTTAGCATTTAATGTCAGTGGGCACTTAGAAGCAGTGGGATTAGAATTTGGGTTCCAAGATAAAACTAATGAAAATAAATTATATGGAAAGAAAGAGTAGAAAAGCCAAGAGTTGAGGATGGTACTGTGGGGAATGTCTATAGTGAGGATTTGGAAGGAGGAGATTGAAATGAGGAGTATTTTATCTCAGGCTGGGAAGTATGGCAGGAATCATATATAGTATCCTATCTGAGATTACCCTCCCCATTCCTCCCAGAATCAGATATGTTGAATTAGAGATGCTCTTATTTGTTTTTGAGCTTAAATCAAAACTTGAGTTTTCCCAATCCATTCTCTACCCCAACTTCTCTCCCTTGCTGATAATCTGACACTTACAGTGCTGGACAAGGGTAAATCCAAGACTACCACTTAAGTTAGTATATTAGAAAGACATGGGTGTTTGACTGCATCCTCATGATAGGTGATGCTGCAGCATGATCTCTGAAACCAGCTTTTAGTAGGAAGAAAATGCAGTGGAGAGGCGGGGTGGGTTGGGCTACTTTGTGTTTAATCCTAATCAGTAGGGAAGAATTTGTGGGTGAAACAATTTATGGGGATCTTGGGACAGTGTGATTGTCATCTTAGAGGTCATAGCAGTAAAGGAACAAAATGTTGGATGCTGTTGATATGTCTCCTGCAAGAAGCAGATTTTAGAAGTTCAGAGAATGTGAACTTGTGACTGGAGACTTGAAGAAGGAAGAAGGCTGGAGATAGGTGTGAGCTGCCTGAAAACAAAGTTCTGCTGATTGCAGGCATGAATGGTCCTGATAAAGAAGAAAAGGAGCAAATATTTAAAGAAATTGAAGTGGCTGCACAGGGAGCTCTTGGAATTTTATGAGATAAAAAGACAAAAGGAGGAGTATATAACTAAGGTTTAGTAAGGCCAGGATGTTTTGAGGCTTATGAAAAATGTCTAAGGACAACAAAAGGACTTTAAGGGTATATTGTGGTCAAGAAGATTGAGAGAGGGATAAGGCTACTACTTGGGGCAGAAGATGCAATGTTAACAGATAATGGAGATGTACTGTGTTTTTGTCAAGTAAATCACCTTCAAGATAGAGAAGGTAAAAACAAACACAGTGAGTTGGGCCTTGAAACCCCAGGTAAGTGAGGGGCTAACAAGAAGACACTTAGCTGCTTTAAATGTATTTGAATCATGGCATCTGTGATTCTTAGTGAATCTATCCCAGGATGCTGAAAGAACTTACATTTGTGATTTTGAAACTGTCCTCAGTGTGTTTGAGACATCATGGAGGAAGTGTTGTTGGATGTGGTTTATTTTGAGCAATGGGTTCTAGAAACTGAGTCTGATGCTTAGTCTGTGCAGAATTTTGAAGTAGACTAAATTTTTAAAGACGGTTTATGACAACTCGGAAGGAATAGTAAGAACTGACATCTAGCATGAGTTCCTTAAGAACAAGTCACTGCATTTCCTTTTGTTGCAGAATGGATTGACTGACTGTTCGTAAAATAGTAGATTTAGATCTAGGAGGAACTTAAAAGTCAACTGCTTTAATCTCTTCATTTTGCAGATGAAGAAACAGACCGAGAGAGGAGAGGTGACTTGCTCCAGGGCCACACTGAATTACATTGATTCCTTTATCATGTAGACCTAGTATTTTAGCAAGAAATTTGGATGTACTTTTTAAAATGTCTTTGTGGACAAGACCCAGAAATGTGCACTGTCACCAAACATGAAGAGTGATTGATGGCTAGATGTCCATCTGGAGGAATGTGTCTATTTTTTAAAAAATTTATTTTTAGTTTTCAACATTCACTTCCATAAGATTTTGAGTTTAAAATTTTTCCCTCTCCTTCCTCTCCCTCCTCCCCAAGACAGTGTGTAATCTGATGTAGGCTATACATATATATTCATATTAAACATATTTTCACATTAGTCATGATCTAAAGAAGAATTAGAACTAATGGGCAGAACTATGAGAAGGAAGAAACAAAACAACAACAAAAAAGAAATCACATAGTATGCTCACATCTGCAGTCTGACTCTGTACTTCTTTCTTTGGACATGGATAACATTTTCTATTGTATGTCTTTTGGAGTTATCTTTGATCTTTGCATTGCTGGGAAGAACTAAGTTTATCAAAGTCATCACACAGTGTTGCTGGTACTATGTATGATGTTCTTCTAGTTCTGCTTACTTCACTCAGCATCAGTTCATGTAAGTCTTTCCAGGTTTTTCTGAAGTCCACCTGCTTATCATTTCTTATAATACAACAGTATTCCATTACATTCATATATTACAACTTGTTCAGCCATTCCCCAATCGATGGGCATCCTT